AAGTACTGGGCCCCCTGAGGGGTCAGCAAGGGAGACCGCAACAGGCCGACTGAGCGGCGTTAGTGTGGTGCTGTCTCTAAAGAAAGAGCGCGAAGCACCAGAATCAAGTGTGAAAGTGTGAAAGGACGCAGTAGGTGTAGTACCAGAGAGAGGAGACGTACCAGCACCTGGAGCAGCAGACGCACTAGCACCTAGAGCAGCAGCCGCACAAGCACCTGGAGCAGCAGACGCACTAGCACCTAGAGCAGCAGCCACAGTGCCCGGGTCGGGCGGGACACGCAGGTAACAGTCACCCTCAGTAATATCAGCAAGAGCATACATGGCAGCAAGGATAGCATCAAAGTCTAGATCAAAGATAGGCACATTCTGCAGAAGCAGATCATGCCAACGAGGAAGCTCAACAGCGTCAGGAAACTGGGTACGCCAGGCGTCAGTCAAGCGGCCAAAGCAGCGTTGCGTGGTGTGTGGGAGACCACACACCTCCCCACTACGAGTGCCGGTGCGAAGAACGTACGTGCAGGGACCTGCACCCCCAGACCTCCCACGCCCAGCGTACCACTCACGAAGCTGCTGAACAGACGGGGTCTCACGGGTGCGCAGCTGCTGCTGACGCTGGCTGCCACCAAGGCCTCCACGCTGCGTGGCCGCACCGCGACCAGCACCACCTCCTCCGCTACCTCCACCACCGCTGCCGCCGCCGCCACCTCCTCCGCCACCGCCGCCACGGCCTCCACTGCCGCCACCGACGCCCCCACTCCCGGAACCACCCCCACCACCACCTCCACCTCCTCCACCTCCTCCACCGCTGCCTCCACCGCCCCCTCCACCACCCCTGCTTCCCTTGCCCTTGCCAGTGCGGCGTCGCCCACTAGGGGCAGTAGACGCAGCGCCGACCTCCTCAGTGCCAACGAGGTTGACAGCAGCAGCAGAGGCAACAGAGGGGAGAAGGGGGACAGGGGAACACGCCTCAAAGAAGGGGGTGCGACGGTCGCCGCGAGAAGCACCGACAGCTAAGATACTTTTCTCAGCTGCAGCAAGGCGCTCCTCTAGCAAGTCGACAGTCAGCTCGGTGGGGCAAAGGGAGAGGAAGTGATCCCTGACTGAGGAGAGAGAGTCAGGGAGGCAGGTGACTAGGTAGTAAAGGGTGATGTACATGGGGGGGGAGTTCGTAGGAAGAAACTCAGTAGGAAGGGCAGCGCGGTAGCGAGCGTCACTAGTGCGGAGGTGAGCAACTAGGTCAGCAACTGTGGCAAAGGCGGCAAGGTCAGGAAAAAGGTACGGCAGCATGAGGCGGCTGAGGGCAACAGTGGTAGGGGAGGAGTAGCGTGCAACTACAGCGTCGTACAGAGCCCTAGCACTCTTGTACTGACTAAAGTGCGCGCGCTTAGTAGACGGCAGGTGATTACGCACAGCAAGACGAGCAGCAGCATCGCGCGTGAGCCACTGCGAGCGAACAGTACTGTCAGCATCAGCAGCAGGGGCAGTAGAGGCGCCAGACGTGAGATCGAACAGTGAGAGGCCATCCTTGCTATCGCACTGTAGGAAAAGCTGCAGATCATCTAGCCAGACCTCAAAGTCAACAGCTCGACCCTCAGCATCAAAGGTAAGAACATTGAGACTAGCCATGACAGGAGCAGCAGCAGCAGTGCAACTCGGCAGGGCAGGCTAGGCAGGGCGGCGCGGCTCGGCAGGGCGGCGCGGCTCGGCAGCGCGGCGCTCTTACCAGTGGCGAGGCCGGGGCAGGGCCGGGGTAGGGCCGGGGCCGGGCCGCAAAAGATCCGGGGCCGGGTTGGGCAGGGCCGCGACAGTGCAGGAGCAGGGCAGGGGCAGGGCCGGGGCAGGGCCGGGGCAGGGCCGGGGCAGGGTCGGAGCAGGGCCGGGGCAGGGGGCAGGGCCGGGGCAGGGCCGGGGCAGGGCCGGGGCAGGGCCGGGGCAGGGCCGGGGCATGGCCGGGGCAGGGCCGGGGCAGGGCCTGGGCAGGGCCGGGGCAGGGTCGGAGCAGGGCCGGGACAGGGCCGGGGCGAGGCCGCGACAGGTCCGGGGCAGGGCCGGGGCAGGGCCGCGGCAGTGCAGGAGCAGGGCCGGGGCAGGGCCGAGACAGGGTCGGGGCGAGGGCCGGGGCAGGGCTGCAACAGTGCCGGAGCAGGGCCGGGGCAGAGCTGCGACAGGGCCGCAGCAGGGCCGGCGCAGGGCCGCGACAGGTTGGGGTAGGGCCGGGGCAGGGCCGGACGGGGCCTTACGGGGCCTGACGGGGCCTGACGGGGCCGCTAACGGGGCCTGACGGGGCCGTACGGGGCCTCTAACGGGGCCTGACGGGGCCTTACGGGGCCTGACGGGGCCGCAAACGGGGCCTGACGGGGCCTGACGGGGCCTTACAGGGTCTTACGGGGCCTTACGGGGCCTAACGGGGCCTTAAACGGGGCCTGACGGGGCCTTACAGGGCCTTACGGGGCCTTACGGGGCCTTAAACGGGGCCGTAAACGGGGCCTTACGGGGCCGTAAACGGGGCCTTACGGGGCCTTACGGGGCCGTACGGGGCCTTAAACAGGGCCGTAAACGGGGCCTTACGGGGCCTTACGGGGCCTTACGGGGCCTTAAACGGGGCCGTAAACGGGGCCTTACGGGGCCTTTCGGGGCCTTACGGGGCCTTTCGGGGCCTTACGGGGCCTTAAACGGGGCCGTATACGGGGCCTTACGGGGCCTTACGGGGCCGGCGCTGGCTCTAAGGGCAGGCGCAGGGGCCGCTACGGGCCTCGAAGGGCAGGCGCGACGCGCGCGTCGAGCAGGTAAGAAAAATTTCAGTGGTGGGCCCATTAAAAAAAACTCGAAACTAGCTCTATACCATGTGAGATAATTGACGAAAGAATGAATCAACTAGAAACTGAGATGGGTACAAGTAGAAAACATAAGTGTTGTACCCTCTAAGAGCTACCCCACTACAGCCTAAATAGACTATAGCAGATATAAGTTTGACACTTCTTGCAGACGTGTGATTCAGGAGGGGAGAGGGGTGTCACCATCCAGAAGCCGCCATGAACAATCCTGCTGTAACTACACTCCCAAGGGCATATTGGTTCTTGTCCATACATGGCGGTTTTGCATTGGAGAATAACGTGCGCATCCGCCACCTCCACAGTCGCGAATCCAAAACGATGATGCAACGCGTGGGCCTGCATAGCCTTGAGGGCCTTATCCCTCGAGGAGTAGATACCTCCTTGCCTCAATGGGGCATTTTCCTTAGGAGCTTTTGGTCGGCCACGGGCTACGGGGGGAACGTTTCTCATTGCCTCTAGAATGTTATTCGCTAACCGCTCGGCGCGTTCCCTGGGTTCCGACTTGGCAGCTATTGAGGAGTAAAACGATAGTGGCGCAACTAATGGCTGAGCTTGGTACTTACGGGTAGACTAGATCACTTAGAAAGGACCACCAAATCGACCAGTGCAGTGAAGACGAAATGGACACAACCGTGAGTAGATGACTGAACAACCATGATGGCCTCGTTATTTTCGCGCAAATGTGAATTCAAACGCGGGAAATTCAGTGCGATAGAATCGTTGCGATGTGGTCCTCCAGAACTGCTTCACGGGACAGTCGTCAGACCTCTACGGTGGTCAGTGAACTGTAAAAACTGAACGCGCGCAAAAATATGCGATCTGAGCCGTTCGAGCTGTTATACGGGCCATCCGTGTGCTTGTTACGGGCCACACAGAAAACGTTAGTGGCGGGAAAACTGCGCGCCTGTCAAACAAGTACTGTACTTCCGCGGTTGAGGGAAAATATCAGCGTGAAATGATTGTTCGCTCTGTTCCGAATGTGTTTCCTGGGTGGCGTAATGATTATTCAGGGAAGTCAGTTGTATTTCTCGCCTGGGGCAGAAACCGTCTGTGATCGAAAAACTCGTAAAAACCTACAAAATGAGTATTGATGGCGAAAACTGACCACGGGAATCGGGCGCGATCGCGTGGCAGGAGGCATGTAAAAACCACTGCCTGTTGGAATTGAAGACGAGAGAGCACGGCGCTTCGTCTTTGCAACGTTCCGCTAGATCTTTGCAACGTTCCGCTAGATCTTGGTTGTTGTGTGATCGAGGCGCGTGGAAGGTTCCGCTGGATTCAGGAGAACATTTTAGCACAACGAACAGCCCTGAAAAGTTCATTTGGGACCAACTGCTAACCTACTGAAGCTTGTTGACAACGAATAAGCTAAAACAATGATTGTTGTTGGGTGCGAGTGTATTTCCTATTTTCCAGCCTGGCGAGGTGGCGTAGCGCCTTCCAGCTCATCACCTCGTCCACATGCTTGTGCCCACCGCCCCTTTGCGCCATGCATGTTTCTTACCTCTCACCTTCTCCAAATGGCTTCCTGGCGCGCGCAGAGCCCATACTGTATTCACACGCATTTGTGGAAGACCGGCCCCGCGGAGTTGAACTGCGCTCCCCAACCTCGCTGAGTCAGCCTTCCCCCTCCCCCACCCGCAGCCCAGTCAGCCTCCCTGTTTCCGCTTCACCTCGCTGAGTCAGCCCGCCCGTGTGCCCCATTACTCGCCTCCTCTCTTCTTGCTCCCAGTCAGCCTCACGGCTACCGCACAAGCACCCAGTCAGCCAGCCTCGCATCCCCACTTGCGCCCATAATCCTTCCCCCCTACCCTTCTCATCGCCCAGTCAGCCCCGCGGGTCATCCGCTCGTGCCTCCTCTGCAAAGTCCGCCAGCAGCAGCGAAGCTCTCTTGTGCTTACACGTAAGGCGTGTCTCTGCTCACAGCTGGGACCATTCTCACACGTAAGCCCTAATTTCTTCCGTTTCCTGATTTGAGCGAAGGTTGCCTCCCCTTCAGTCTGACTGCTGATTTTCAATAGCAGCTGAACGGAGCCGCGCTGCGATCTGTTGTGGTCTTGGTGTGTCACGTCACGGATTTTCGAAGCTCGAAGATTATTGCCAAGGAAGAATCTGATCGTTCGAAAGGCGTCATCGAAAGTGAAGTCGTCGTCTCCAGCGCCTGTTATGGGATCGACTGACGTAGGTGTAGCGGCAAACGCGATGAGTAAGGTAGCGCAAACTTCGGTTTTGCGTTCTTTGCTTTTCGGGTCCGTTTTCTTTCTTTTTGTTTTGATTTTTTTCTTAAACGTTTACCTTCCTTTTTGTACCCTTTTGTCTTGCCCATTTACTGTGTCCTTTTGTGCTATAGTTTCTCCGCTTCCTCCGCCACCTTCCCAAGTCTGCAACTCACACCCGTAGTCCGCGTCGCGTTTCTCAACACTCATATTTTTCTCCGTCGCGGTGCGTTGTGTCACGACCGATTCAATAACTTGTCACCGCAGGAAGCGCAAGGGTATGGCAAGGATCAACAGATGCCGGCAGGCTACCCCGACTGGGCAGCGGCTTTCCAGGTGAAGCATTTGGGTCACCCCGATGAGGGTAACCACACGATGTAAACCATTTTCTATCCGATGAGGGTAATCCCACTCATGTAACCCATTATCTATCCGCTAGTATAACGCGCCGAAAGAGGCCACGTACCTTAGCATGTAGCCAGTCCATTCACCGAGTTACCAGCTGTTACAAGCAGCTACCCGCCGTTACCAGCCAGAGGTTACCAGTGTTACCGGTCGTAATCAGCCACCACTAGCAATCGCCAGCTGTGGTAACCAGCTTCAGACGCCTCTCGCCGCACCTAGCAGCGACCCTTGTAGAGCAGTCCGAGCCTGCAGTTGACGCGTTTTGAGCTGGAGGCTCGCTTTTTCTGTCCACACCCCTTTGAGCTGGAGGCTGTGATTGTTTTACCCGTATCGGGACTGCATGTCCCACCTCTCTGTCTGGTTCGAGTGCCCCTCGACGGCCGCACCTAGCAATCGACCCTTGTAGAGCAGTTCGGGCCTGCAGTCGACGCGTTTTCAGCCAGGGCCTCACAGTTTCTGTCCGAATCTCTTGAGCTAGGAGCTGTGGTTGGTTGGTTCAACCATAGCGGGATGCCATGCCTCGCCTCTCTGTCTAGTTTGAATGCCTTTCTATGCCGTGCCATCCCGGTGTCGCGCCTGTCAAGGTGGCGCCTGGTCGAGTTGGCGCCTGGCGAAGTGCGGCCGGCTGGCGAGTCAAACCACTGCCCGCTTGTCGGCCTGCTCGTGCCATCGTCTATTCAAATCTAGGCGGGCGAGTCAAATTCGCACAACAGTCTTTCCCATCCGTCCACGCATGGCAGTGCGCAGCCCCAACCTAATCCCGTCCCCTTGTGTGCGTGTGCGTGTGCGTGTGCGAGTGCGAGTGGCCCCGCGTGTCTCCCCCTGTGTGTCCCCGCGTGTGCCCCCGCGTGTGTGCGCCATGCCTTGATCCCCGCCAGGCATACTACGGGCAGGCGGGGCAGCCACCGCCGGGCTACTACCCCTAGCCCATTGCTGTTCCGTCACCCCGTCACCACCTTCTCTTCCTCTCACCCCCCCGTGTGCGCCATGCCTTGATCCCCGCCAGGCATACTACGGGCAGGCGGGGCAGCCACCGCCGGGGTACTATCCCGCAGCAGCCGCCGCTCCCCAGCACCATCCCTACATGTGGGGGCAGGTACGCGACTCGTTGTCTGATGATATGTTTTTGGGTCACGGCCGTTTTCCCACAGCCTCGCCCCTTGCTGTTCCCCACAGCCTCGCCCCTTGCTGTTTCCCACAGCCTCGCCCCTTGCTGTTCCCCCGCCCGTTCCACACAGTCTATCTCTCCCTCCCGCTCCCCCTCCACCCTCCCCTCTCTCCCTTTGCCTCTCCACTCCCCCTTTGCGTCTCCAACTTCCCGATCCGCCCTTTCCCCATGGCACTGTACGGCCACCCACCTTCCCCTCCCTCCACCCGTCTACCCCCCTCCCTCCTCCCCTTACTCTCCTCCGCTCCCCGACTCCTCCCTTTCTCTGCTCAGCACATGATAACTCCACGGCTCACCTCCCCCCTCCCCCTCCCCCTCCCCCTCCCCCTGTCCTCCCCCTCCATCCGTTCCCCACCGCATACCCTCCCCCATACAGCACATGATACCGCCTCGCGGCTCACCTTCCCCCTCCCTCCGTTTCCCCCATTCCCCCCTCCCCCCGAGCAGCACATGATGACGCCCTACGGCCAGCCTCCCACCTTCTTCCCGTCTCCCCCCTCCCTCCTCTCCTCCGCTCCCCCTTCCCCCTCTCCCCCCTCCCCCTCTCTCCCCCCCACCCCCTCTTCCCCCATTCCCCCCTCCCCGAGCAGCACATGATGACGCCCTACGGCCAGTTCCCATCACCAACCCCGCCCCATTTTCCTCCGCTCCCCCTCTCCCCCTCCCCCTTTCCCCTCTCCCCCTCCCTCTTTCCCCCATTTCCCCCCCCCCCCCCCCCCCCTCCCACACGAGCAGCATATGATGACGCCATACGGCCAGCCTCCCCCCTATGACGCCCCCATGTACCCCCCTGCTGCCATGTACCCGGTAAGAGCAGCTTCGTTACACGCCACTGTGTTTCTGTTAGGAGTTGTGCTGTCATGGATACGGTAAATGCTGCCTTATATGCATCCATGTACCCCAAATGAGCTGCTTTTCTTTCCCTACCCTAGCGTCTTTTATGCTCCCACTTTTCTTTCCCATTACACTCTTCTGCCCCATCTGTTCCGTTAAAAGCAGGGCGCGCAGCCCTATATGGGGTACGGCATGCCATCAGCGACCGCAGCCTCCATGGATGCGTCCTCGGTATGAATACAAAAACTATGGAGTGTAACGTGTATGGCTTGTAACACATATGGAGGGTAACGCATATGGAGTGTAATGCATATGGAGTGTAACACATATGGAGTGTAACGCATATGGAGTGTAACACATATGGAGTGTAACGCATATGGAGTGTAACGCATATGGAGTGTAACACATATGGAGTGTAACGCATATGGAGTGTAACGCATATGGAGTGTAACGCAAATGGAGAGTAACACATATGGAGTCCGAGCTGGTTTGTAACTGGGAACTAGTCACCACCCTAAATGGTAACTCCATGAGCATGTGTGTGTGGTAACTCAATCCGCATGTAACCAGCACTTTCATGGTACTTTTATGGTGACACGCCTCCTGTATTGCTCCTCCTTCCGCTTCAACCTCCTCCCCTTTCTTCCCGCCCCCTTCTCTCTCCTCCCCTTTCACCCACCCCAATGCCCCCCAATTCTTACATCGCCAGGCCATGGCGCCAGGCATGCAGCCAGTGGCAATGCACGCAGAGCAGAGGGATGGGGGACCAGTGACGCGCCTTCATTCTTGTGCCTGCCTTCCCTTCCTCTCCCCCGTCCCCGGCCCCTCCCCTTCCCTCCACCCCAACCTCCCCCCCTCTCCCCCCCCCCGTCCCCCCCTCTTTAATGCTCCCCTATTCTCCCTTTTCCAGGCCATGGCGCCAGGCATGGCGCCAGTGGGAATGCATGCGGAGCAGAGAGATGGGGGAGGGGCGGCAGCAGCAGGCGCAGGGGGAGGGGGAGGCGAGGGAGTGGGGGAAGACGGGGGTGGCGCGAAGGCGGGGGATGGGGGGGCTATGGTTCCAGCGGGAGGGGGAGGGGTAGGCGGAGGCGGAGGGGGGATGGGACCGGGGGGAGGGATGACGTCAGAGGGGTCAAAGCTGCAGTCAGGGAACGGTGTGTTCTCCACCAGGTGTGTGCAGGGGTGTGGATGGGTGGGTGGGGGTTTGAGGAGGGGTGATGGGTGGTTGGATGGGGGTTGGGGAGGGGGGGTGAGTGGGTGGGGGGGTGAGTGGGTGGGTGGGGGGGTGAGTGGGTGGGGGGGTGAGTGGGTGGGGGGGTGAGTGGGTGGGTGGGGGGGTGAGTGGGTGGGGGGGGGGGGGGGTGAGTGGGTGGGGGGGGGGGTGAGTGGGTGGGGGGGTGAGTGGGTGGGGGGGTGAGTGGGTTGGGGGGGGGGGGGTGAGTGGGTGGGGGGGGGGGGGGGGTGAGTGGGTGGGGGGGTGAGTGGGTGGGGGGGGGGGATGAGTGGGTGGGGGGGTGAGTGGGTGGGTGGGGGGGTGGTTTTAAGGAGATCCTGGTAGCATCTTTCCTATTGCACGCAGTCATGATGTTTTTAATGGGTTTTCATATGCTTTACAAGGAAATCTTGGAGGCATTTCTCTTTTATCTTGAACCATGCATGTTGTCACGTAGTCCCTCACGCTCATTCTCACTCGCCCACTTGATGACTTTTGAGTCGACTCAAAAGTCACTCTCACTCGCCCACTTGATCTTCTTCTTGCCCTCGCCCACCCATCCACTCACACACACTCACCCCCCGTTCTCATCCCATTCCCATCATTCCTCTTTACCCCGTGTTGTCAACACCTGCTGCTTCACCGACTGCTGTTCCGTCAATCACTGGTGTGCCAATCCAAATCCTGTTGCGTGGTGGTGTTGCAGCGGTGGGGAGGATGATTCGGAGGAGGACGAGGGCACCGACCACAATGAGGTGCGTGCTGCTGCTGCTGCTGCTGCTGCTGCTGCTGCTGCTGGTGTGTGGGATGACAGGACTTGGCTTGGCGGTATCATGCAGTGCATAGTTTTGAGACGTCTCAAGACTTGGCTTGGTTTTTGAGGCGCCTCAAAAATAGACTTGGCTTGGTTTTTGAGGCGCCTCAAAAATAGACTTGGCTTGGTTTTTGAGGCGCCTCAAAAATAGACTTGGCTTGGTTTTTGAGGCGCCTCAAAAATAGACTTGGCTTGGCGGTATCATGCATCGCATATAATGAAGGTGGTGTTGCAGCGGTGGGGAAGATGATTCGGAGGAGGATGAGGGCACCGACCATAACGAGGTGCGTGAGCTGCTGCTGTTTGTGTTGATGTCATGACTTGGCGTTATCATGCGTGTCATATAGGTGGTGCGGTGCGGTGATGGGGGGAGGGTGATTCGGAGGAGGATGAGGGCAGGGATCACAACGAGGAGAGCGAGATGCTAAGGATTATGATGGTGTCATGATGATGTCATGATGATGTCATGATTATGCTTTGAGGATGCGAAACGGGGAGAGAGAGGTCCGAAGGGGAAGTACCCATCGAAGCCCTCGTGTGCAGTGCAGTGGGAACTCTTGTTTCCTATCTTGAGGCGCCTCAAAAGCATTGAGGTGTATCTTCAGGCGCCTCAAAATGCAGTACCCATCGAAGCCCTCATGTGCAATGCAGTGAGAGCTCTCGTTTCTTATCCCTTGTTCTTCACCCGCCCCTTCTTCCCCACCGCACCTCCCCCCTCTGCAGGAAGGGGGGGGCGCTGGCGGAAAGGCAGGGGAAGCAGGGGAAATGGGGGGGATGGTACCCATAGACTACTGGTCCGCGCAAGCCCAAGCCCAAGCTCAAGCTCAGGCACAAATGCACCAAGCAGCAGCTGCGGCTGCAGCAGGGCAGATGGGGCCGGGGGGACAGGGAGTGGGCATGGCAGGCGGAATGGGGGGGATTCCCGGAGTGGGGGCGGGCGGGGGGGCGGCTGGGGTGGCAGGGGGAGCTGGGGGAATGGTTGGCGGGGGGATGGGCGGTGCTGCTGGTGGCAGTAGTGGTGGTGGTGTTGCTGGGGGCGCAGGGGTAGCAGGGGCGGGGAAGAAGCGGGGTGCGGTGGCGGGGGGAGGGGGAGGGATGGGAATGTCATCAGACCTATGGGTGCACTCCGTGAGTCTCCTTTCGCCTCCCTCACTCAAAGTCTCTTTACCCAGGTGCATAATAGAAGAAGAAGCAAAATACCCATCACTTGATTGAAACCACCTTCTCCTTCTCTGCTTCAACCATGGTCTTCTTTTGTCTCCTCTACTGCTGCTCGCTGGATCATGTCTAACAGTTGAGCCCATCTTCCCCACCAATAGCCGATTCCCCCATCTTCCCCAGCAATAGCCGATTCCCCCATCTTCCCCCCATAGCCGATTCCCCCATCTTCCCCCCAGCAGGTGCGCCGCTGCTTCTTCACCTCAGGGGCGTCCTGTTCTTACCGCGACCTCCTTTCCTCATCTCTCGGCCCCCCATTCCCCCTTCTGCCAACAGGACGACCGGGAGGTGAAGAAGCAGCGGCGCAAGCAGTCCAACAGAGAGTCGGCTAGGCGGTCCCGGCTGCGGAAGCAGGTGCGTGGCTAAGGGGGGCTGGGAGGTGGTACGTGGGAAAGAGGGAGGGAGGGGACGGGAGGTGGGTGAGAGGCAAGCAGTCCAACAGAGAGTCGGCTAGGCGGTCCCGGCTGCGGAAGCAGGTGCGTGGCCAAGGGGGGCTGGGAGGTTTGCCGGGGTGTGAGGGTTTAGGGGCGGGTGCGTGCATGCGCTTACAAGTATTTTCTCCTTACAAATATTTTACAACTATCTTCTCCTACAAATGTCTTCTCGTTTTACTAATGGCTTTCTTCTTACAGATAGTATCTTCTCCTCTTACACATATCTCAACCCCCTTCCCCCCCTGCCAGGCGGAGTGTGAGGATCTGATGGGGCGGGTGCGTGCTCTAATGGACAAGAATCAGACGATTCGAGTGGAGCTGCAGTCCTCTACTCCTCAACCTCGTCCACTTGCCTCTGCCTTGCCTGCCTGCCAATCTCTCGTCCCTCTCCCCCACGCCAGGTGGAGTGTGAGGATCTGATGGGGCGGGTGCGTGCTCTAATGGACAAGAATCAGACGATTCGAGTGGAGCTGCAGTCCTCTACTCCTCAACCTCGTCCACTTGCCTCTGCCTTGCCTGCCTGCCAATCTCTCGTCCCTCTCCCCCCCGCCAGGCGGAGTGTGAGGATCTGATGGGGCGGGTGCGTGCTCTAATGGACAAGAATCAGACGATTCGAGTGGAGCTGCAGTCCTCTACTCCTCAACCTCGTCCACTTGCCTCTGCCTTGCCTGCCTGCCAATCTCTCGTCCCTCTCCCCCCCGCCAGGCGGAGTGTGAGGATCTGATGGGGCGGGTGCGTGCTCTAATGGACAAGAATCAGACGATTCGAGTGGAGCTGCAGTCCTCTACTCCTCAACCTCGTCCACTTGCCTCTGCCTTGCCTGCCTGCCAATCTCTCGTCCCTCTCCCCCCCGCCAGGCGGATTGTGAGGATCTGATGGGGCGGGTGCGCGCTCTAACGGATGAGAATCAGACGATTCGAGTGGAGCTGCAGCGCATGCAGGAGGAGTGCCACAAGATGGCGCAGCAGAACGCGTTGCTGCAGGTGGGTGCGGGGGGTGGTGGGTGGATGGGTAGTTAGGTCTGTGGGAGGGCAGAGTGGCTGTCAACAGGTGGAGCTGCAGCGCATGCAGGAGGAGTGCCACAAGATGGCGCAGCAGAACGCGTTGCTGCAGGTGGGTGCGGGGGGTGGTGGGTGGATGGGTAGTTAGGTCTGTGGGAGGGCAGAGTGGCTGTCAACAGGTGGAGCTGCAGCGCATGCAGGGTAAGTGCCACAAGATGGCGCAGCAGAACGCGCTGCTGCATGTGAGTGGGTTGGTGGCGGGTGGGTTGGGTGGTGGGCAAGTGGGGCTGGAAAAGTTGGGGCATGCAGCACAGCACATGCACCACAGCGCATGCACCACAGCGCATGCACCACAGCGCATGCAGGAGGAGTGCCACAAGATGGCGCAGCAGAACGCGCTGCTGCAGGTTGGTGGGTGGGCAGGTGGGCAGGTGGGTGGGTAGGTGGGTAGGTGCGGCAAGAGGATGAAAGCTGGGTGGCAGTCACAATGGGTGGGGTGGGCATGCACCACAGGGCATATGCAGGAATGCCAGGACCCTTTAGGACGCCCTCCTGCTGGTCAGTGGGTGGCGCTGTTGCTTAATCTGCTGTAATCGCTGATGCTGTTCTTTCTTTCTTCTAGGCTACCGTATGGCCCCGGATATAAGCGCAGGCCTATTATAAGCGCATGCGCTTGTATCTGGAGCAATGCGCTTATGGCCGATCCTCATTTATAAGCGCACCCCCTGTAAAACCTTGATTTATTATAAGCGCACGCATAATTCTAAAATTTAAACCAGATTAAAACGGTAGCGATTTCAAATTTTGCAGTGAGGATACAACTATTTTCGCTTCGATTGACTTTCGAGGACCTCACATACTGCACGTCCAGTCAGTATGAGCTGGCATTTCTGATAGTGACGTGTAAATTTTCCCCTGTGCGCCGGCAGAAAATCGCTCACGCGCGAATCTGAATTGCGACTCGCTACCACTTCGATTCGATTGAAATCACAAGAAGGAGATGTACAGTTTGGTGCCAATGAATTATAAATTTGCATTTGTTGTTATATAAGCGCATGCGCTTATAAATCTGACTCAATTATAAGCGCACCCCCCCAAAAAACACTGTTTTATTATAAGCGCAGGTGCGCTTATATCCGGGGTATTACGGTACTTCACATGCCCATCCACTCACTGACACAACCTCTCCATCAGCTCCATCCACTTCATCCATGCCCTCCATTTATCCACTCAACCTTTCCATCTGCCCCATACATTCATCTACTCATCTGCTCCATCCCATTCCATCCCACTCCATCCCACTCCATCCCACTCCATCCCACTCCATCCCACTCTCAGGAGAGGCTGAACGGCAAGGCAGCACCAGGCGGCCCGTCCTCACACTCCCCAGCCCCCTCAGACCTCCACCCTGCCGCCGCCCTCCCTCTCCCGTCCTCGGGACTTGGCCCCAATGCGCTGCCGCCACACATGCCACCAGATGCATCTGCAGCCGTTGATCCTTCTGGAGCTGCGATGTCATTGGCCGGTGCGCCTGGTGCTGATGTGAATGGTGCGCTAGTGCCTGTAGGTCAGCAGCAGTTGCAGCAGGGAGGGGTGGGGGGAGGGGTGTTAGCAGTTGGCAATGGCGGTGGTCATGGAGGGGAGGGGTTAGGTGCTGCAGGTGCCTCTGCAGCGCGGTTAGGGCAGGGGAGCGAAAAGCACAATGTTGTGACTGCTGTTTCATAAAGTGGGTGGGGTAGTTTCATAAAGATCATTTTTGCAACTCTCTCTAGTAGAGACAATTGTGGTGGACAGACATAGGTAGTGATGAAATCCATCTTGGCTTCCACATCAGATCTCTTAGCTTCTCAGTAGTCACCTCCTGTCGATAATGATTACTCTTTGGAAAAAGGGGATAGGTACCAGTTCTAATCCCATAACAGCATCAACTACAACCATATATGCACAGATCAAACATCTCAGCTCATTCAAACCAAGATAAAAAAAATACTGTCAAGGCACTATTACGCCACAGGTGGCGTCAAAAATCGATCTGCAGATGCATCAGCCACGCCAGACTGGAGGAATTGCCACATTGTCCGGTGCTGGTGGTGAGGCAACCGCACAGCCTCAACCTTGACAGGCGTTTGGTGCGCAGGGTATGATGCGTGCGACGCTGTTTGCGACTGCAAAACTGCAGGAGACGACTGGCCTAAGAAACTGTTGGTCCTGGTGGGAGCTGTGAGGGTATCGAGGTGCATCCGCAGGCGATCCCGGTCAGCTTTCAGGCGAGATTTCTCCTCTCTCAGTTCGGACTTTTCAACCTGTATGTGGGAAGAGAAAGAGCCGTTACACCTCACTGAAAACCACGGAGAAGAAAAGATGCCAGCCAAAGCTCTCGTGACCGAAAACCATGGCTCGAATTCGTAAGGCGATACGACGTATCCGAGGCAAAAAAAAAGGTATGAAACTGACAATCGGTACCTTAAGCTCCTTGATTTGATCTTGAAGCTGCTGGTTACTCGTCAACAGGCTTGCTGCTTCAGTCCTCAACCGAACAAGCAACCGGACAGCTTCCGTCAGGAGGACCGCCTTATCCACCTTGACGGTTGCCGACGGACCAAGCTCCCTTGCAAGTTCTTGAAATCTGGAGGGTGGCGAAGACAAACATGCGACGTCTTTCAACACGCTGCCGATGGACTACCGCCGACGAATGCGGAAGTGAAGTTGTGGAACGAAGGACGGCCGCGTGATAAGCGATTGGAGGAACAGAGATGGAGCGCGAAGTGATTGGAGGAAGGATCGATAAATGGTACCTGTCGTTTAATCTATCGCGTCGCAACTTCTCCCTGGTGGCTTTGCTAAAGGTAATTTCTCTCTCGCAAGCACCATCTTCCCGAACCCTGCACGAGAAAAGGCGACACGAAAGGACAATTAGTAAGGAGATAAATTCAATGCAACCCCATCCTGACTAAATACTTTGTTCGAGTGCTCACTAAACGAAGCAGCAAAGGAAAACATCTCACCGCTTTCTAGAAGACGGTAAGCCGTCGTTCGAGTTTTGTCTAGCAGCGGAGTCTGGACTGCATAGGCAACGGGGACGAATAACGCAGCAGGAGGAGAAGATGACAGCGAGTCATTTGGAGTCACAGGCATCAAAACAAGGCCGAACATGGGACCAGATTATCTGGACATAAATTCTGCGTAAATGCTAACCTTCTCTCAAGACTGTCCTGGGATTGCCACATGGGACCAAGCGAGAGCGCACAGTCTGCTTCTAGTTTCAATGAACGAGACGAATCCATTGCGGGACGTTGAAAGCAGGAATGGAGAACCGGCTTTCAGTGAATCAGATAAGGCAAAATAATACTGCGGTTGGGGGTTTAGTCACAGCAGGATCACAGGTGTATCTCGAGGGAGTAGAGGGAGCAACTGCGAACAGTTGAGCATCCAAATTACTGTGATCGCAAGTCCCTGACGTAATACACCTGGCCCGCGGTAAATTCACCGGCGGTATCTTCACCACGTGATGGTACTTTTCCGCAGTCAAGCTAGTTTATGAAGGTAGTTTCGGATTCAAAGGGAGTAGAATCATGCATACCCTTCACCAGATCGGGAGTGTCTTAACTTGTTAAAAAGCCAATCCTGCCCTTCTCTCCGATCACTAAGTACGAGTACGCTAGACAGGAATGCATCCTTACTGTTTACTTGTTCTCTGGGTGACCGTCTCATTGGACGGAAAGGCAGAAGGGGGGCCTGGAAGAAAAATGTTCAGGCGGTGAATTTACCGCAGGCCAGGTGTAGATTCCTTGCATAATCTGATGGCTCAGAGCGAGGGAGTTGGGAGTTGGTTCGGGGAGGAGGAGCACCAGCGGGAAGGTTTTCACCCATCTGTGTCTTGATGTGGTTTGGGCCACAAACCACTGGTGGAACCGCACACGGTCGCTCGGAAACTATTTTTTGCGTCCAAGCCAAGAATCCGGCCTGGCGACGGGTAACACCAGACCGAACGTGGTGTGGTTTGATGAGTGCATTCGACTTGCGCTGGTTTCCAGACCAGGGACATCCTTGGTGCACGTGTACAACTGGCCTGTGGTCTCTTCCGAGGCTTCCATCTCCCACCCACGCAAAAATGGATTCGTAGGTGTGGGAGCGTGTATGGCGACTGGTTGCTTACGCGGACCCAGATGTTGACGTGTGGATGAATCCCGCTTCAAATGAGGAACAAATACAGAGCCATTCAGCGGCGCGGACCTTCGACTCATTGTACCTTACTGATTGGTTGAGAGCGATTTTCATGAAAGTTCAGAGCGATCCATTTGCTCGCGAGCGTCGTGAACGTCATCCGACCATCACTGGCACGCGACGGCGGTTGGCGGAGTGGCTTTAGACGTGAGGGACACGCGTGTCAGGACACGCCGTCGGCGTCCCATGCCACGCCCCCTTCTCATGGAAATGGTCCAGGGAGCTCATGAAAGCGAACCCCTGAACCTCGTTGATTGGATGATTCGACCAACCTTTATCGCCACCTTCCACGGTTCGAAGCAGCTCCACGTGCAAAAATCGGTCTGACAAGGGGGTTCCTCTCTAGCACAGCGGCCAAACAAGCGCAGACAAACCACATGCACCCAGACCAGCTGTCTCAGTTGCTCCCAGTTTCCCCTCCTCTCCGACAACCCCCCTTGCCTCCACTTCCTCCCCCATATCCCTTGGCCTTTCCCTACATTCTTCTACACCCGCAAAGGTGAATTGATCTTTTGCTCAAAACCCGCAAAACTCTGCCACCCTTCGTCATCTCATCAAATAAACTGTTTTCAAGATTTGTCGCATAGCGTTAGAGAGTGAACATTTGTGACGGATTTCCATTAAGAGCTGCAAATAAGTAACTGGATAACATTTAGAGGACGAAAAACAGCAATACCGTACTAACAATCGCCCTCCCACCTTAACTAGGCGAGGGGTGGTCCAAGCTCAACGTGTAGCTGGTTGCTACTCGAAAACGCCCTCCCCACCTGCAAAAGGAGAAGTAAAATCTACAAATGCATACTAACCTCCCACCATCCCCCCCACCCCCCCTCCTCCAACCCCAAACCCCACAAAGAACCACTATACAGAACTATAAATGCCTTGCCATGCCTTCCAAGGCTAGCAACCATCCCACAACTTAGGGGATGGAAAAAGGTGAGCCACTGCAGTCATGCCACTGGAGCCCTAAGGATCTGGTCTCTCATTACATCTCCTGACGCCGACTGAAGCCATTGCCATGCAGAACCAGGCGCACCCTGTGCTGCATCAGCAGGTATGGACGCTGGAGGCTTCACAGCGAAATGGTTGGACATGGGTCCAGCCGCTGCAGCTTGAAGAGCAGCGAGGGCTGCGGCAGCTGCAGCAGCAGCAGCGGACGGGGACGAAAAACGATCTGGCGTAGGAAGAGGCAACGCTTGAAGTTGCAATTGAAGGCACTTGCGCTGTGCCTTGAGACGGGCCTTCTCGTCCCGAAGTTCCGACTTCTCAGCCTGAGAAAAGACGGAATGAAAAAGGTTCTATGAGATACGTGAAGAAGAGATGCAAACGGACATTCAGAAGGAGAAAAAAAAAGAAAATCGAGTCAAAACAAACACAGCATGATCTTCATTCTGTATTTTTGTTTTCACCTTCAGCTCCTTGATCTGCTCCTGTAGCTGCCACGTGCCCTGCTTGAGAGCTGCAGCCTCTGCCTTGAGGCCGGTCAGAACACGAACGGCGTTGTTCAGAATTATGCCCTTGTCCGTCCGCGGAGTCGTGGTGGGATCCAGCTCGCGACCGAGCTCAAGAAACCTGAATGGAAGGAAATAGAGGAAGTAAATAAATAAATATTAAATTCAAACAACATATGTTGATGATACAGAACCGCAGGGATAATCAATAGACGTCAACGCGCGACGCAATTGCTAGAAGTTGCTGAGAAAATCCAAGCGTCACGCGCGTCACGGCTTGTATTGTACCTGTCATTAAGTCGGTCGCGACGCAGTTTTTCTCGTTGTGCTTTGCTGAGCCCTGCTTCCTCCAGATCATCACGCGACCTGTGAACAAACATGACACGCAAATGATCGAGTCGTAAGCAATCATTCCGCCGCCGCGTCCCTGTAGATTCGCAAACCCCCAAAGCACTGTTCGAGAATCTCCGAAGAGACACACCTTTTCCGAGCAGGTCTCGAAGAGTCTGGGCTCTTGATCATCGGACTCAGAAGTCTCACACTGCGCACAGGGAAAGTCAGCCGACGTTAGGGGCAAAACGGGATGATTGGTAGAGTCTCAGCGACTGAGCCACAATTGCCTGCTTCAAGAGACTCACTCTTCCGACGATGTTGTTTCCTGAGGTCGAGATTTCGACGGCGACGGCACTTCTCGAGCCTTGCGTTTGCCGAGTTCTAATTCCGTGACATGGGACTGCGGCTCGAGCCAGCGCCCAGGTGGCCCGAGAGTTAAGCACGGACCCGCCGCGCCAATGTCACTCTGAAAACGCCCTACGAGGTCTACCATTATGAGGAATACTCAGCGGCGCGCGAAAGGTTAAGCAGTAAAGTGTGCGCGGCTTAACTTCAAGTTGAGATCCCCCAAGCCTAAGAAACCCTACTAGGGGAAAAAGCGTTGAACGAAACTGGACAACCAAGCTTGGTGAGAAAACTTGGAACGGTAACAAACAAACTGATTCAGCCAAGCGAGATCTTCAAGAGGACGAAGCGTTGAGGTGTTGGCAAAACTGGATGTGTTGGCGTGAAAGAGGGAGGAAGGGGGGTGGGGGTGGGGGGATGGAGGAAAGAGGAAGGCAAGTGAGTGAGATGAGAGATGGGGAAAGAGGAGGAAGTCAGGTGGTTGGAGGCGGATAGACTTGCGCGGTGTGGGGGAAGGACCTTGGGGGAAACCTTGTAGTGCAGTTGATGGGTGGCGGTGGTGGGGTGGATCATGGGTTGCGTCCGCACCAGGCAAGGGATTTGCGCCAGCTCGCGCTCATGCTGTGCGGAGCCGTATGCTGCTGGTAGAATCAAAGCAGATTGTCTTGTGTTGATACGAGAACAAGCGGATGGCGTCGGCGAGCCCAATCAAAACCTTGCCAGCTATGAATTTTTATGGACACGGGTTAGACAAAGACTGTAGGCAGTTGGGCTGGTGTCTCGAAACTGTTCGGGCAGACACATTCTTCGTTGCAAGAGGAGTGTGCATCGCGGCCCACGACACACCGCCAGGAAAGACAAGAGATGGAGTGTGTGAGGGCGTGGTTGGTGGATTTGAATGGAGGCTAGCAACGAGTGGACACGCGGGCATTGCATTGAATTTGGCTGCACGTGAACTTGTCCCATACCACAGTGGAAACGCTTTGAAGCCAAATAGCCCAGTCATACCCGGATGATCGTCCAATTTTACGGGGGTTCATGTGCTGTGTGCAATAGACACAAGACTGCGAAAACCAACGTAAGGAAACAGCTCAAATGGGCCTTTTAGTATTTAAGCACTAGCTCAATCCATTCTCTTCCACTTGACCACCCTAGTTGATGCGAGGAACTGCTTCATCTCATTTCGCCAGTCCTGTACAGTATCTGATTGCAGTCCCCTTGCCTCCAACAGGAGCAATGCATGGACATTTTCAGCCGTGTCAAGGAAATTCAACTGCCAACACCAAGGATTTCAAGGGGAACGAGAAGTCATGGCTTGAATGCTTGAGTTGAGAACCTACGATTGTGAAACACGCTGTCCGTATACAATCACATTGAACGTTTGGTTTCGAAATCAGTGTCATGCTCAAACGTTCTGGCTAAGCTGGCAAGCTTCTGACTACCATGACTGTAAACGGCAAGACTCTCGTACAATAGCCATTTGTTTAATGAAAAAAAAGTGTTTGTTGTGTCTGAGTCATACATGCAGTCCTTATTTTCAGTCCACAACGGTCTCTTCCCAGTGTTCTAAGCGATGTGATTGAGCACACTGAACGGAGTGGGCCAGACCCTGACTTTTACGCAAATAAAAGAAAAACAATCAAACAGACAAAAAACAAAAAAGAAACAAAAAACACAGCACAAGAAACGAGCACAATTGTTGCGGGTCTTGTGTGCTGATTTCTGCAAATGAGAATTGCATGCATCTGTTGTTCTTTGGCTCTTCAAGGGAGACAGCCCTTCGATTGGTCTCAAAGGAGCTTGGCCTTTCGTGTGTGCAAGAGTAAGAGTCCTTACGAAAAGCTTCACTATCCGTGTAGTACATCCATGTCGGTTACATTTCACTATACTGTATACACCCAGAAAAGAGTTTACATGTGGATTTTACATGTGCGTCAACAAGGATTTCCCCCACAGATTATTTGGCCGTTACCACATGCCTTGCTCCTTATCGGACCACTGAAATTGCGAGCACAGTTCCAGTTTGCTACTGCTACTACTGGCAGGACGCGTACTCCTAAACTGTCGCATTTGCTCAGAACCCTACCCAACCAATCTACATACCGATTCGACCATTGTAGAACGTATAGCATCTCACTGAGCCGTATTTGGACGAACATGGAGGCGCGCCCTAATCAATGTCCGCGTGAAACACGTCCCACTCTAGATGACCTTCAAAGTTGATCGATTTTAGCCTTTCGTATGTGTCTCGTGTTTTGAGACGTGCCAAAAAACGGTCCGTATGACTCCAATACCTACCCGCGCCTCGACGCCTTCCGACGCCGCTGACAGATCGCAACCCCTCCGCGGCTCGCCGCCGGTGCTGCAGTTTGGCGAATGGGGAGCCGACCGGTATTTGGGGAAGCGGAGCGGCGCCAATCGCGGGCGTAGAGGCAGTGGCGGAGCCGATGGCGGGGGGGATGGCGGAGACGACTACAGCGATTACGGCGATCGCGGAGGTCGGCAAGGAAGAGGCGGGGAAGGGGGGGTCGGTGTGCTTCAGCGGCCCGCTCGGTGCGGCGATTATCGCGCGAAGTACGCGGATCGAAGCGACGCATTCGTGGTTATTGACAACGGCTCGCACCGCTGCCGAATAGGGTGGGTGCCGCGTGGGGTAGGCGCGGGGAGGCGCGGGGTAGGCGCGGGGAGGCGCGGGGTAGGCGTTCCCTAGAGTGGGTGTTCTCGAGGGTAGGTGTTACCATGGTCTTTTCATAACACCTTGCGCGCTTAGGTTATGCGAAGAACCGAATAAGTATGGCAGCGTTGGGTATCCCAGGTGGCCTCTGCTGCTCTCTCCCTCCAGTGCAACACCCCCCCTCCCTCCCTTTTCCTTCCCCTTCCGCCGACCCCTCTCTTCGTTGCATCCCCAACCCGTCTCCCCTCTCCCCATTCCTCTCTCCCCCTCCCCCTTCCCCCCGCGTGTGCCATGCGCGCAGGTGGGGAGGGGAGGCGGATCCGCGGGTGGACTTCAGGAGCGTCGTGGGGCGTCCGCGGCCTAGGAGCGGGGGTGAGCGGCGGTGAGCGGGGGTGAGCAGGGACGAGGGGGGATGAGCGGGGGTGAGCGGGGGTGAGCGGGGGGTGTGGAGGGATGAGCGGGGGTGAGCGGGGGGTGAGGAGGGATGAGCGGGGGTGAGCGGGGAGGACTGGGGTGAGCGGTGGGGGTGGGAAGAGGAGGGGGTAGGGGGGAACGGGGGGGCGGGGGGAGAATGGGGGTGAGGGCGGACTGTGGAACGGGCGCGACAGGGGGAAAAGGGGGGTGAGGACGGAGGGGCGGGAGAGTGTGAGAGGATGAGAAGTGAGAGGCTGTGCTTTGCTGCCGATTATCGTCATCTCCTCTTCTCCTCCCTCACTTCACATCACTGTACAGATTTTTATTTTTCTTCTTTTTTAGTGACCCCGCATCACCCCGCCTTAACCTACCGCCATGATTACAGGTGACGGTGGTGGGCGACTGGGATGGGACCCCTCAGTGCCCCATGTTCCTTCACCCCACCGCCACTCCCCAGCAGCCCCCTTTCCTTGCCCATGCTGACCTATCTCCACCGCACCCCACCACACCCCTCCCCATGCTCGTCTATCTCCTCACCATCGCTCTGCACCAGAACTCTCTTCCACCTTGCTGCTGCAACCCGTTTCACCCCACCACACCCCACCATGCCCCTCCATGCCCCACCATGCCCCACCATGCCCCTCCATGCCCCACCATGCCCCTCCATGCCCCACCATGCCCCACCATGCCCCACCATGCCCCTCCATGCCCCACCATGCCCCACCATGCCCCTCCATGCCCCTCCATGCCCCACCATGCCCCACCATGCCCCACCATGCCCCACCATGCCCCACCATGCCCCACCATGCCAGGCTCGCAGGTGACGGTGGTGGGCGACTGGGACCCCGCGTGGCCGGCGCTGAGGGCGCTGGAGTTTGGGCGGCAGAGCATCCGATCGCCCTTTGAGTCCAACGTCATCTATAACTTCGAGCTCATGGAATGCGTATGGCCCCACTCCCTCACTTTCTTCCCTCCCTCACTCGCTGCTCTTCCTCCCTTCCCTACTCCCCTCTCCCCTTTGAGTCCAAGGTCATCTATACCTTCGAGCTCATGAAATGCGTACAGCCCTTGCTTCCTGCCCTCGCTCCTCACTGCTCTTCCTCCTCCCTCCCTATCCTCTCTATCCCTCGCTCGCCCTTTAAGTCCAACGCCATTTACAACTTCGAGCTCATGGAATGCGTATGGCCCCCACCCACTTGCTGCCCTCCCTCCCTCACTGCTCTTCGTCCCTCCCTATCCCCTCTATTCCTCGCTCGCCCTTTGAGTCCAACGTCATCTAGAAGGTGCAAAAATACGGCGGTATTTTTGAAACTGCTCTACGATTTCTATCAGGAGCCTATTACACGCTACCGAATTTTATGGTTGATAAAAAAAAAAAAACGACCATAATTTTGCACCTTGGTCATCTATAACTTCGAGCTCATGGAATGCGTTAGCATGCCTCTCGCTGCTACCCTCCCTCCCTCTCTTGTTCTGCCTCAGCCTGGCTTCCCGTTTCTTTCTTCCGCATTTCCTGGATTTTCCCCTCCGCGACACTACACTTTCGTTTACAATCCCCTTCTCAAAACCCATCCTTCATCTTCCTCCCTCCCCTGTTACTTCCCTGCTCGTTCCTCTCATTCCTCTCCCCGCCCACCCCACCCCCCCTCCCTCTTCCTCCTCCTCTCCTCCCTTTCCACCATGCTTTTTTGCGCCGTACTTCGCAGATCTTTGATTACGCGTTTGATCGATTGGGGGTGGAAGGCGGTGGCAGGGTAAACCACCCTGTGTTATTGACCGAGGCTCCCTGCGCGCCCCTGTACACGCGTGGCAAGACAGCAGAGCTCATGTTTGAAACCTACGGCGTGCCTGCCCTGGGTAAGTCTGGGATATACAGGTGTAGCATCCCTGCCCTGGGTGAGGCATACAGGTGTAGCATCCCTGCCCTGGGTGAGGCATACAGGTGTAGCATCCCTACCCTGGGTGAGGCATACAGGTGTAGTGTAGCATCGCTACTATTGGTGAGCTTGGGATATGCAATGCATCAGACGGCCCCTGTACACGCGTGGCAAGACAGCAGACCTCATGTTTGAAACCTACGGCGTGCCTGCCCTGGGTAAGACAATACAGGCGTCTCTTGCCTGCCATGGAGTGGTGTGGTGTGGTGTGGTGTGGTGTGGTGTGGTGTGGTGTGGTGTGGTGTGGTGTGGTGTGGTGGGGTGGGGTGGTGGGGGGAGTGGTGGGGGGAGTGGTGGGGGGAGTGGTGGGGGGAGTGGTGGGGGGAGTGGTGGGGGGAGTGGTGGGGGGAGTGGTGGGGGGAGTGGTGGGGGGAGTGGTATCATGTCATGTCTTGTCACGCCATGTCCCACCTGTGATGCTCAACTTCCACTCCTCCCCACCTCCGCTCCACTCCTCCCCACCTCCGCTCCACTCCTCCCCACCTCCGCTCCACTCCTCCCCACCTCCGCTCCACTCCTCCCCACCTCCGCTCCACTCCTCCCCACCTCCGCTCCACTCCTCCCCACCTCCGCTCCACTCCTCCCCACCTCCGCTCCACTCCTCCCCACCTCCGCTCCACTCCTCCCCACCTCCACTCCACTCCTCCCCACCTCCGCTCCACTCCTCCCCACCTCCGCTCCACTCCTCCCCACCTCCGCTCCACTCCTCCCCACCTCCGCTCCACTCCTCCCCACCTCCGCTCCACTCCTCCCCACCTCCGCTCCACTCCTCCCCACCTCCGCTCCACTCCTCCCCACCTCCGCTCCACTCCTCCCCACCTCCGCTCCACTCCTCCCCACCTCCGCTCCACTCCTCCCCACCTCCGCTCCACTCCTCCCCACCTCCGCTCCACTCCTCTCCACCCCTCCCCTCCCCTCCACTCCTCAATCCTTCCATGTTCATTAAAAACACCTCCATGCACCTCATACCCTGTGTCTCCAATGTTCCTCTCGCATCGCATCCCATCCCTTTCCACCCCTCTCTACCATCCTCTGTTGCCCGGCTCTCGCAGCATTCGGAGTGGACGGGGTGTTCAGTTATCGCCACAACACCGCACAGCACCACTCCGTACCATCATCCATACCAGATGGTCTGCTGGTCGACTGCGGCCACTCCACTACCCATGTCATGCCCGTGCGTGCACTCCTGCTGCCCCTTCGTTCCGCTCTCTCACCCCGTCTTTCTCGCTCTCCTGCACTCTCTCTTTAGCTCCTCCACCCCCTGTTTCTCGCTCTTGCACCCGCCCTCTCTCGCTCTCTCACCACCTCTCTCTCACTCCCTCACCCCTCATCTGGTTCGTGGCCAGCTGAGCTGCCTTCTGGTGCTCTTTGAGTCGACTAAAAAAATAAGCTCTCAGTGGCTCGTTACTCAGTTTCACAGCCCGGAAGACCTGGCCCCGGCCAAGCCTGACCAGGCTTGACCACTGGCCCCGGCCAAGCCTGGATCGCGAAACAGACTGGCCCCGGCCAAGCCTGGATCGCGAAACAGACTGGCCCCGGCCAAGCCTGGATCGCGAAACAGACTGGCCCCGGCCAAGCCTGGATCGCGAAACAGACTGGCCCCGGCCAAGCCTGGATCGCGAAACAGACTGGCCCCGGCCAAGCCTGGATCGCGAAACAGACTGGCCCCGGCCAAGCCTGGATCGCGAAACAGACTGGCCCCGGCCAAGCCTGGATCGCGAAACAGACTGGCCCCGGCCAAGCCTGGATCGCGAAACAGACTGGCCCCGGCCAAGCCTGGATCGCGAAACAGACTGGCCCCGGCCAAGCCTGGATCGCGAAACAGACTGGCCCCGGCCAAGCCTGGATCGCGAAACAGACTGGCCCCGGCCAAGCCTGGATCGCGAAAGAGACTGGCCCCGGCCAAGCCTGGATCGCGAAACAGACTGGCCCCGGCCAAGCCTGGATCGCGAAACAGACTGGCCCCGGCCAAGCCTGGATCGCGAAAGAGACTGGCCCCGGCCAAGCCTGGATCGCGAAACAGACTGGCCCCGGCCAAGCCTGGATCGCGAAACAGACTGGCCCCGGCCAAGCCTGGATCGCGAAACAGACTGGCCCCGGCCAAGCCTGGATCGCGAAACAGACTGGCCCCGGCCAAGCCTGGATCGCGAAACAGACTGGCCCCGGCCAAGCCTGGATCGCGAAACAGACTGGCCCCGGCCAAGCCTGGATCGCGAAACAGACTGGCCCCGGCCAAGCCTTGATCGCGAAACAGACTGGCCCCGGCCAAGCCTGGATCGCGAAACAGACTGGCCCCGGCCAAGCCTGGATCGCGAAACAGACTGGCCCCGGCCAAGCCTGGATCGCGAAACAGACTGGCCCCGGCCAAGCCTGGATCGCGAAACAGACTGGCCCCGGCCAAGCCTGGATCGCGAAACAGACTGGCCCTGGCCAAGCCTGGATCGCGAAACAGACTGGCCCCGGCCAAGCCTGGATCGCGAAACAGACTGGCCCCGGCCAAGCCTGGATCGCGAAACAGACTGGCCCCGGCCAAGCCTGGATCGCGAAACAGACTGGCCCCGGCCAAGCCTGGATCGCGAAACAGACTGGCCCCGGCCAAGCCTGGATCGCGAAACAGACTGGCCCCGGCCAAGCCTGGATCGCGAAACAGACTGGCCCCGGCCAAGCCTGGATCGCGAAACAGACTGGCCCCGGCCAAGCCTGGATCGCGAAACAGACTGGCCCCGGCCAAGCCTGGATCGCGAAACAGACTGGCCCCGGCCAAGCCTGGATCGCGAAACAGACTGGCCCCGGCCAAGCCTGGATCGCGAAACAGACTGGCCCCGGCCAAGCCTGGATCGCGAAACAGACTGGCCCCGGCCAAGCCTGGATCGCGAAACAGACTGGCCCCGGCCAAGCCTGGATCGCGAAACAGACTGGCCCCGGCCAAGCCTGGATCGCGAAACAGACTGGCCCCGGCCAAGCCTGGATCGCGAAACAGACTGGCCCCGGCCAAGCCTGGATCGCGAAACAGACTGGCCCCGGCCAAGCCTGGATCGCGAAACAGACTGGCCCCGGCCAAGCCTGGATCGCGAAACAGACTGGCCCCGGCCAAGCCTGGATCGCGAAACAGACTGGCCCCGGCCAAGCCTGGATCGCGAAACAGACTGGCCCCGGCCAAGCCTGGATCGCGAAACAGACTGGCCCCGGCCAAGCCTGGATCGCGAAAGAGACTGGCCCCGGCCAAGCCTGGATCGCGAAACAGACTGGCCCCGGCCAAGCCTGGATCGCGAAACAGACTGGCCCCGGCCAAGCCTGGATCGCGAAAGAGACTGGCCCCGGCCAAGCCTGGATCGCGAAACAGACTGGCCCCGGCCAAGCCTGGATCGCGAAACAGACTGGCCCCGGCCAAGCCTGGATCGCGAAACAGACTGGCCCCGGCCAAGCCTGGATCGCGAAACAGACTGGCCCCGGCCAAGCCTGGATCGCGAAACAGACTGGCCCCGGCCAAGCCTGGATCGCGAAACAGACTGGCCCCGGCCAAGCCTGGATCGCGAAACAGACTGGCCCCGGCCAAGCCTTGATCGCGAAACAGACTGGCCCCGGCCAAGCCTGGATCGCGAAACAGACTGGCCCCGGCCAAGCCTGGATCGCGAAACAGACTGGCCCCGGCCAAGCCTGGATCGCGAAACAGACTGGCCCCGGCCAAGCCTGGATCGCGAAACAGACTGGCCCCGGCCAAGCCTGGATCGCGAAACAGACTGGCCCTGGCCAAGCCTGGATCGCGAAACAGACTGGCCCCGGCCAAGCCTGGATCGCGAAACAGACTGGCCCCGGCCAAGCCTGGATCGCGAAACAGACTGGCCCCGGCCAAGCCTGGATCGCGAAACAGACTGGCCCCGGCCAAGCCTGGATCGCGAAACAGACTGGCCCCGGCCAAGCCTGGATCGCGAAACAGACTGGCCCCGGCCAAGCCTGGATCGCGAAACAGACTGGCCCCGGCCAAGCCTGGATCGCGAAACAGACTGGCCCCGGCCAAGCCTGGATCGCGAAACAGACTGGCCCCGGCCAAGCCTGGATCGCGAAACAGACTGGCCCCGGCCAAGCCTGGATCGCGAAACAGACTGGCCCCGGCCAAGCCTGGATCGCGAAACAGACTGGCCCCGGCCAAGCCTGGATCGCGAAACAGACTGGCCCCGGCCAAGCCTGGATCGCGAAACAGACTGGCCCCGGCCAAGCCTGGATCGCGAAACAGACTGGCCCCGGCCAAGCCTGGATCGCGAAACAGACTGGCCCCGGCCAAGCCTGGATCGCGAAACAGACTGGCCCCGGCCAAGCCTGGATCGCGAAACAGACTGGCCCCGGCCAAGCCTGGATCGCGAAACAGACTGGCCCCGGCCAAGCCTGGATCGCGAAACAGACTGGCCCCGGCCAAGCCTGGATCGCGAAACAGACTGGCCCCGGCCAAGCCTGGATCGCGAAACAGACTGGCCCCGGCCAAGCCTGGATCGCGAAACAGACTGGCCCCGGCCAAGCCTGGATCGCGAAACAGACCGTCCCCGGCTTGACCACTTGCCCAGCCTGCATGCTTGTAGGTCGATTCTTAGAATTCTACAAGACAGCCTTTTTGAGATTGCTAAGAACGGCCTACAACCCGGGACTTTGAAACATTTCTGACCCCGGCTCAAAGTCTTGTTCACCCTGCATTCATGCTTGCTTGCTTGCTAAACCCGCGCGTTCGTCTGCTGCCATCAAGAACCAATCGTGCGTTGCCACGTGGCACCATGTGCAGACAGATGATCGCGGGGCAGCCTCTGCTGGACGCCACGTGTCGCATTCCCGTTGGCGGATGGCACGTCACTGACTACCTGAAGCGCCTCCTCACTCTGCTGTATCCTCAACACGCGTACGGCCCTCGCCTCAGGCACCCTCCTCTCCCCTCCTCAAAACTCAACCACCCTCTCCCCCCTCCTTGTTCCTCCCCCCTTTCCCCCCTCCTCCCACCTCTCCTCCTTACATCCTCCCCTCCCGTTCATCTAAAGTGTGATAGAAGGAAGTATGACAGGCAGCCTAGCTTGCACGTGCCATGCCACTCAAGTCAAGTGCACCACATTCCAGAAAGCTTTGTGCATGTTGTGATCATCCCTTCTCTTGCTCGGGCCATTCTGTCCTCCCCTTCTCTTACTGTTCCTGTTCCGTCTTGCCAACGCTCTTCCCCACCATGCCATCATCATACCATCATGCTGAGGTGACTTTTTGAGTCGACCCAAAAGTCACGCTCTCATGCCACGTCACATTCGACTCTATCACCCCCACAGCTCTGTCATAACATGGGAGAGAGCAGAAGAGATGAAGTGCCGGAGTGTGTATGTGGCCATCGACTACTCACAAGAGCTCAAGGCTTTCCAGGTGAGCCCATTGGGTGAAATAAAGTCATTGCCGTGCGGTTACAAGACGACTTTTGAGGCGCCTCAAAAGTCGTCCCATTGGGTGAAATAAAGTCATTGTCATGCGGTTACAAGACGAATTTTGAGGTGCCTCAAAAGTCGTTCCATTGGGTGAAATAAAGTCATTGTCGTGCGGTTACAAGACGACTTTTGAGGCGCCTCAAAAGTCGTCCCATAAGGTGAAATAAAGTCATTGTCGTGCGGTTACAAGACGACTTTTGAGGCGCCTCAAAAGTCGTCCCATTGGGTGAAATTAAATCATTGTCGTGTGGTCACAAGACGACTTTTGAGGCGCCTCAAAAGTCGTTCCATTGGGTGAAATAAAGTCGTTGTCGTGCGGTTACAAGTCGGTTCAACAACTTTCTACTTTTTAACTAAACAAGTCGCTGCCACGTAAAGAGATGGCTCCAACCTGGGGCTCCATTGGACTTACAAGATCGTCACATGTGCCACACGATCTCACATGTGCCACACGATCTCACATGTGCCACACGATCTCACATGTGCCACCATCACCTCAATATGGAGATCAAGTGGGATAACGTGGCGATAACGTGGCGATAACGTGGCGATAACGAGGCGATAACGTGGCGATAACGTGGCGATAACGAGGCGATAACGTGGCGATAACGTGGCGATAACGTGGCGATAACGTGGCGATAACGTGGCGATAACGAGGCGATAACGTGGCGATAACGTGGCGATAACGTGGCGATAACGTGGCGATAACATGGCGATAACGTGGCGATAACGTGGCGATAACGTGGCGATAACGTGGCGATAACGTGGCGATAACGAGGCGATAACGTGGCGATAACGAGGCGATAACGAGGCGATAACGTGGCGATAACGTGGCGATAACGTGGCGATAACGTGGCGATAACGTGGCGATAACGTGGCGATAACGAGGCGATAACGAGGCGATAACGTGGCGATAACGAGGCGATAACGTGGCGATAACGTGGCGATAACGAGGCGATAACGTGGCGATAACGTGGCGATAACGTGGCGATAACGTGGCGATAACGTGGCGATAATGTGGCGATAACGTGGCGATAACGTGGCGATAACGTGGCGATAACGAGGCGGTAACGAGGCGATAACGTGGCGATAACGAGGCGATAACGTGGCGATAACGTGGCGATAACGTGGCGATAACGAGGCGATAACGTGGCGATAACGTGGCGATAACGTGGCGATAACGAGGCGATAACGTGGCGATAACGTGGCGATAACGTGGCGATAACGTGGCGATAACGAGGCGGTAACGAGGCGATAACGTGGCGATAACGAGGCGATAACGTGGCGATAACGTGGCGATAACGAGGCGATAACGTGGCGATAACGTGGCGATAACGTGGCGATAACGTGGCGATAACGTGGCGATAACGTGGCGATAACGTGGCGATAACGTGGCGATAACGTGGCGATAACGTGGCGATAACGAGGCGGTAACGAGGCGATAACGTGGCGATAACGAGGCGATAACGTGGCGATAACGTGGCGATAACGTGGCGATAACGTGGCGATAACGTGGCGATAACGTGGCGATAACGTGGCGATAACGTGGCCATGGACTATGTGGCCATGGACTATGTGGCCATGGACTATGTGGCCATGGACTATGTGGCCATGGACTATGTGGCCATGGACTATGTGGCCATGGACTATGTGGCCATGGACTATGTGACCATGGACTATGTGACCATGGACTATGTGGCCATGGACTATTCACAACAGCTCAGGCATACCAGCTGAGGCGCTCGTGAAGACTTTTTTGTTTTTATCTACTTTTCCGTAAAAGATCGCCCGCAACAAGTCGAATGACGTTCCGTTGGAGTGTGTTGTAAGCGACTCTTCTGCGATTTTTTTAGCCCCCACCCCCTCCAGGAAAAAAGAAAAATAAAAAAGAAAGGCTCATCAGCGAGATCAGCATGCCTGCATACATGATGCATCACGTCCCAACCCACTCCACACTTTTAAGGCGACTCATAGGCCCGCTGGAACCAACACATTATCCCCTCCCTTCCCTCCTCCACCCCCCTTCCCCCTCCACCCAGGCCCCAGACGCGCCAGTAGTTTCCTGGCAGCTTCCGTGGGTGGCGCCCGTGGCCCCCCAGGGCCCATCAGAGGAGGAGGTGGCGAGGCGGGCTGCCAACAAGGAGCGTGCGGGGCAGCGCCTGCGAGACATGGCGGCTGCCAAGCGGGCGGCGAAGCGGGCGGCGGAGCTGGAGGAGGTGGAGGGGGAGGTGGAGGGGTTGAGAGCGGTGATCGAAGATGTGGAGGACGGGGCAGAAGGGAGAGAGGCAATCATGGTGAGCTTTGGATTCACTCTTCCACCGTTTCTCATCCGACATTTCTCATCCGCCATTGTTAATCCGCCATTGTTAATCCGCCATTGTTCTTCTGCAATTGCTAATCCTCTCTTCATCCTCTGCTCTTCATACGCCACTCTTGGGGCACCTCAAAAGTCCTCCTCTTTCCTCTTCCCTCTTCCTCCCCCACTCGCTCCCCCTCCTCTGCCTCCTCCACCTCCGCCTCTGCCCCCCTTTTAGCTGCTCTCCCGCGTGCGCTGTGCCACCCTGTCAGAGGCAAGAGGCAAGCTCGTCAAGAGCCTGGCGACTCTCAGGAAACCTCAAAAGCCCTTCTCTCCCCCCTACCTTTTCCTCCCATCTCCCCTTTCCCCTCTCCTTCTCCACCCTCTCTACTCCTCCCCTTCTATCAGCTGCTCTCGCGTGTACGCTGTGCCACGCTCTCAGAAGCCAGAGGCAAGCTTGCCAAGAGCATGGCGACTCTCAGGAAACTGAGGGGGGAGGAGGGCGAGGGGGAAGGGGAGGAGGGGGAGGGGAAAGGGGAGGAGGGCGAGACGGGATCAGTGGCTGGTGGGGCGGAGGAGCAGGATGAGTCGGTTCTGTACCCGCTGCTTGATATCCCAGATACAGAACTGACAGCCGAGGAGGTGAGAGGAGGGGAGAGCATTGAGAGCAGAGGAGGTGAGATGGTGCATTGAGAGTCGACTCAAAGGAGCAGGATGAGCCGGTGGTGTACCCGCTGCTTGATATCCCGGATACAGAACCGACAGCGAAGGAGGTGAGGGGAGTGAGGAGGCAAGGGGAGTGAGGAGGTGAAGGGAAATTTTGATAACAGAGGAGTTGGGATGGTGCATTGAGAGTCGACTAAAAGAAGCAGGATGAGTCGGTGCTGTACTCGCTGCTTGATGTGCCGACTCCGGATGCAGAACTGACAGCAGAGGAGGTGAGCGGAGAAAGAAGGTGAGACAAGAGCTGATGTGAGAAAAGTAACTTTTGAGCCGACTCAAGCTGGGAGAAGTGACTTCAGGCACCATTGGTACTGCGAATGCCCTTCCGCTCCGTCTCTCATTTCTCGCTGCTCATGCTCCTGTTTCTCCTCTCGTTTCCCAACCCTGCTAGATTATTCTTCCCTCTTTCCCTACATCCTCTTTCCATCTCCTTACCTTAATTTCTCTTTCTTCCATTTTTTTGGCCTGTATTTCTGAAAATCCTCAGAACTTCTCTCTCACCCTTCCCTCGCTTTGTCATGGCATGGCAGCTGAAGGATAAGCGGAGGCAGAGCACGATGTGAGGGATCGTGTTGGGGCAGCCATGTAGACATGTAGACTCGGCGAGACCCCCATTCTCTCTTTCTCCCTCCCCCCTCCCTGAACCCCCCCCCCCCCCCCCCCCCCGCTCCCTTCCCCTTACGCATGGCATGGCAGCTGCGGGAGAAGCGGCGGCAGCGGACAATGCGAGGGATTGCGCTTGGACAGGCGAGGATGCGACATGCGGCAGAGGAGAAGCGAGCCAAGGCGGCTGCTGAGAGGGACGAAGAGGAGCGGAAGAGAAGGTGAGGCGAGCAGATGGGCAGGATTTAGGTGCCTCAATGATTGCGCTTGGGCAGGCGAGGATGAGACAGGTGGCAGAGGAGAAGCGAGCCAAGGCGGCTGCTGAGAGGGACGAAGAAGAGAGGAAGGTGATGCGGAGAGGAGGAGGGAGGAGGTGAGGCAGGGCCGGGGATGAGTTGAGTGGGAAAGAGGGAGAGGGAGCACTGGTGAGAAGCTTTGCGGGCGTTGCAGACTGCTCCATGAAGCGCAGATCTCCAAGTGTAGCAGCAAAAAGTATGTGTTTTGAGTCGACTCAAAACACGACTGCTGCATGATGAAGCAGGTCTCAAGTGAAGCAGCAAAAAGAGAGTTTTTGAGACGTCTCAAAAACTGCTGCATGAAGCAGATCTGGGGATCCTATTCGCCCACTTCACCATTGTGTCTCCTTGCCTTCGCTTCTGCTGCCTGTTGCCTGTTGCCTGTTGCTTGTTGCTTGTTGCCTGTTCCCTGTTGCCTGATTCCTGTTCCTTCTTTCTTTTTCTTGCAGGGAGAACCCAGAGGCGTATGCAGCAGAGCTGAGGGCGCGGTTTCAGCAGCTGCAGGCAGCACTGGAGCAGAGGAAGCGGAGGGATGGTTAGCAGCTTGATCCCTCAGTGTGCCCCTGCTTGCTCGTTGCTTGTTGCTTGTTGCTTCTCGTTTCCATTGCAGGGAGAACCCAGAGGCGTATGCAGCAGAGCTGAGGGCGCGGTTTCAGCAGCTGCAGGCAGCACTGGAGCAGAGGAAGCGGAGGGATGGTTAGCAGCTTGATCCCTCAGTGTGCCCCTGCTTGCTCGTTGCTTGTTGCTTGTTGCTTCTCGTTTCCATTGCAGGGAGAACCCAGAGGCGTATGCAGCAGAGCTGAGGGCGCGGTTTCAGCAGCTGCAGGCAGCACTGGAGCAGAGGAAGCGGACGGATGGTTAGCAGCTTGATCCCTCAGTGTGCCCCTGCTTGCTCGTTGCTTGTTGCTTGTTGCTTCTCGTTTCCATTGCAGGGCAAACCCATAGGCGTATGCAGCAGAGCTGAAGGCGCGGTTTCAGCAGCTGCACTTCAGTGGAAGAGGGGGTTTACTCGTTTGCTCACTTGGTGTGCCCGTGCCATAGTCATGCCTCTTGCTTGCTGCTTGTTGTGTGCATTGCAGGGAGAACCCAGAGGCATATGCAGCAGAGCTAAAGGCGCGGTTTCAGCAGCTGCACTTCAGTGGAAGAGGGGGTTTACTCGTTTGCTCACTTGGTGTGCCCGTGCCATGGTCATGCCTCTTGCTTGCTGCTTGTTGTGTGCATTGCAGGGAGAACCCAGAGGCATATGCAGCAGAGCTAAAGGCGCGGTTCCAACAGCTGCAGGCGGCCTTGGAGCAGAGGAAGCGGAGGAAGTTGGTAGCAGGGGGCGTGGTTCTTGGTGCTGCGGCGTCGTCATCAGTGGGAGGGGAAGAGTCTGGTGGGAAGGGCATGGGATCGGAAGGAGGTGCCAGTGGGGGAGAAGCGGTAGGAGGAGGTGGGGCAGTGGGGGCAGCAACAGGGGCAGCAGGAGGAGCAGCAGGAGCAGCAGGAGCAGCAGGAGCAGCAGGAGCAACGGCAGCAGGCGCAGGAGTAGGATTAGCAGGAGGAGGGTTTTCAGGAGGAGGATTAGCTGTCTCGCCTGTGCTCTCTCTTGCGGCAGCAGCAGCAGCAGCAGCGTCAGGCCAGGCTGTGAAAGGCGCGACTCTAGACATCACCTCACTGGGGGGCCCTGCTGGTGCCCTTGCAGGGGGCACGGGCGTGGGGCTGGGAGGCGCCCTTGCTGGGAGTGTGGCTGGTGGGCGAACAGAGCGGATTACTGCTGCGCACAGGGAGAGGATGAAGCTTCTGACTGCTGCTGCTTTTGAGAGTAAGAAAGGGCGGCGAGGGGCAGGAGGGAAGGGAGGAGGAGGAGGGGGAGGGGAGGCGGAGGAGGGGGTGGAGGAGGGAAGAAAGGGGGAGGGGGAGGGGGGGAAGAGGATGATTTTGGGATGAGGGACGAGGACTGGCTGGTGTATAAGAGGATGAGTGCGAAGGGGGTGGAGGAGGAAGAGGAGGAGGAGGCGGAGAGGGAGGCGGCAGAGCTGGAGAAAGTGAGAAACAGGCTGCAGGTGAGAGTGTAGGTTGGGTGTGGGTGAGTGAAGGGAGGGTTGCATAGGAAAGAGGATTCGTGCAAGTTTTATGTGACTATGTAACCACTTGTCTTCTAGTTCGACTAAAAGCTTATCCCCCATTCGCCCCTCACCACACGTCCCCTCTCAGGAAGTGGACCCAGCTTTTCTGGTCTCCATCAATGCCGCGCGCGCGCCTGTCTCAGTTAGATGCTTATATGTCAATTCAGAACCATCCCGCATTCGCTCCCCATTCCCCATTCCCCGTTCACCCCCACTGCCCCTCTCCCCTCTCCCCTCAATCCTCTCAGGAAGTGGACCCAGCCTTTCTAGTTTCCATAAACGCAGCCCCTGCCTCAACCGCAGCTCCGGGCACAGCCACCGGCCTTCCTGGACCTGCCTCCTCGGTTCGGCAGCCCACTGACGCAGACTACCAGATCCGGCTTGGCGTGGAGCGCGTCCGGACAGCTGAAATTCTTTTCGAGCCGTCTCTGATTGGGCTGGACCGGGCAGGCTTAGGCGAATCTTTGGGGGCAGCAGTGAGGAGAACAGCGGAGGAGCTAAGGAACAAATTAGTCCCATTGTATTCTAGAACCAAGTCAGCTAGTGGTTCGGGCATGGAAAAGGTTTTGCCGAGCTTTCTCTTCCTGACTGGAGGAAGTTCGCTGCTGCCCGGAATGAGGGGCAGGTTGGAGGCAGAGTATCGGCAGGTGCTGCCAATGGGGAGCGGGATAAAGATTGTGGAAGCCCGGGATGTGTTCTGGGATGCGTGGAGGGGAGCGGCAGCCATGGCTGGGGATGGGAGGAGATTGCTATGGCAGGCTGTGAGTCGGAAGGAGTATGAGGAGCGTGGGCCAGATGCGTTTCGACGGTATAAGTTTGAGTACTTTTGAGAAGTTAGGCTAATTTGGCATCTAATGTTTTCCCTGAACAATATTTAGGCCTTGAAACTTGATGAAACGTGGCTTTCGTGACATACTTCCATGTCCGTCACTCTGACATCAGTCAGGGAAGAAACACACATTGTAACGGATCCGCCATAGAGAAGAACACTACCACACTTTCTTCTTGGGAACACCGACACCCCCCTCCCTTTCAAACCAACCTGGTCAAATGATCCCTGGACTTCCGGCGGCTCTTCTTGTCACACTGCTCGTAGACCCCAAGGTCCCATACATTCCAATCCATTTCCAGGCCTTACTCCTGCCACCGCAGTTGCGAATTCTTATCTAGGTCTTTTCGCGTTCACGGCTCCCGAGATTCCATATCCCCGTGTCTTTCGCCTCGGCGACTGAGGTGATGACGTTTTGGGCCAGCGCTAGTTCCGCGATTGTTGCTACTTTCGGCTTATGGTAGTTCAAGCGATCAGCATTGCGTCTCGGTGCTTCGACTCGTGTTGTCGGTAGTAGGCCTCGCATGCGCCACTCACGGCGCGCAATGACGTGCGCGCAATCCTTAGATATTGATTTCCGAAAAGCTCATTCGTATAACGCCTCGCCGTTGTCTACGGAGCAGCATTCTTCCTAATCGCACGGTGAATGTTAGTTTTGATATCATCCGCTTTATCCCAGTTCCGAATCTGTTGACTCAGGTTACGGGAGCAAGTTGTAACGCCCCGAGTTCTGGGCGAGACGATTGGTCACCTGGGCTCGCAGCGCCGGTTTCGTTTAAACCGTTCGCTACGGTCCGCACACTTTCGTTAGGCCGAATCACTCCGGGAATCAGCTCGCCGCGTTCATTTCACCTGCGTACTCTTCGAGACGTTTAAATTTTACCAGCTTTGTCCAATGAAATGCAGCAGCCGTATAGACCTCTTGGGAAGAGAGCGTATATGTTACCAAACGAACTAGAGGGGTTTAGATTCTAGACTCCGAGAGTCTGGAGGCTTGCGGTTCTGAAATTCCGACATTCCAAGGTTCTGGAATCTTTAAACTAAAAGGTTCGGAGACAAGCAGCTGCCATCACCTGATTGCGTCCGGTTGAGTCGTATGTCAAATCCAGATTGGCCAGCTTTTGACGCACCCTCGATAGAAGAGTCTCCGAAGAAACGTGAAGGTGAAGGTGATGACGGTGAAGGTGACTGAAAAACATGGGAGTTGAAGTCCTTGTGAGATCTTTTCTCGAATTCTCATATTTTTTCCTTCCACGGTGATGAAGGTTTCTGAGAATCGCGGGAGTTGAAGCCTTTGTGAGTTGCGTCTTTGTGACAGAATTTAGGAATCTGCCATGGCGGTGAAGGTGGCCAAGAAACGCGCTCCGATTCGGAAGCGAGCCAGCGGCGGGGGGATCGCGGGCGATGGACTTAGCAGCGCGTTTGGCGAAAGCAGCACCACGCGGCTGCTGCTGTTGATAGGAGGCGCCGCGTTTCTAGTGTGGATTCTGAACCACAGGTCGTTTCTCAGAACGTCTTCATACCCGTCAGAAGAGTCGTTCCTTAACAGTCACAGAAGAAGAGGGGGGTCACGGGGGGCGGACCCGTGGGGTTCAGATGACGGGAGAATGCTTCAGAGCCGTGACTATAACGGGAGAGGAGGGGCGTATGGTGGTAGAGGTGGCTATTATGAAGGATCAACGGTAGGAAATTCCGTAGATCAACGGTCAGGAGGCGCTGTAGCTGCGGGCTTTGGGGCAGTCGGAACGGGAGGGGTTGGGGGGATTGGGGGAGGAGCAACAGGGGCAGGTGGCAACCCCAGATTGCTCCACGTGGACTCGCCAGGAGCGACAGCTGGCACGTTGGCAGGGGGAGGAGAGGATAGGTCGGATGGAGAGAGATTGGGGATTGGAGGAAGAGGAGAAGGGGATGGAGATGCGTCCCGGCAGCAGCGGTTCTCGGATTCGACTCATTCAGGCCCGGAAATTGTCAATATGCGGAGCAGTTACAGCAGCAGCAGCAGCAGCGGCTCTGGCGGCATGGGAGACAGCTACAGTAGCAGCGGTAGCAGTGACAGCAGCAGTGGCAGTAGTGGTAGTGGCAGTGGTTGGAGTGGCAGCAGCAGTGACAGCAGCAGCAGCAGTAGCAGTGACGGTGACAGCAGCGCTACTAGCCACAGCGTATCATCCTCATCCAACCCTCTCAAATCAGCCAAACCCCGAACCTCACATCCAGGTTCGGCAGCCAGGTGGGCGCCAATCAACGGCAGCTTCGTCCTCTCCTGGATTCCCCCTGCCAAGGCTCGGCTCCAGACCAATATCTCCCAACCAGAGCTCTACCCGGTTCTCTTAGATATGATTCGTTACAACGAAGAGGCGCAACTAACCGCCGCTAAAGCGGGTCTGGAGGCTCCTAAGGCGTCCAGAGGGCCGGCGTGCCCGGTGTTTGAGTTTGGGTTTGAGCGGTTCCCTGGGATTGGGTCATGCTGGGAGGCGGGGATTGCGGATGAGAAACGGGCAGCGACGCGGCCGCCTGTGAACTGCAAGGGCGTGGACCCGACGTGCATTCAGAAGAATGATCTGCTGCCGCATAACAAGTGGTCTGCTCAGGTGAGGGGGGTGGGGGAACGGGGGAGGGGGGTGGGGTTAGATGAGGTGTTTTGTGTACTGCAAGGGCGTGGACCCGACGTGCATTCAGAAGAATGATCTGCTGCCGCATAACAAGTGGTCTGCTCAGGTGAGGGGGGTGGGGGAACGGGGGAGGGGGGTGGGGTTAGATGAGGTGTTTTGTGTACTGCAAGGGCGTGGACCCGACGTGCATTCAGAAGAATGATCTGCTGCCGCATAACAAGTGGTCTGCTCAGGTGAGGGGGGTGGGGGAACGGGGGAGGGGGGTGGGGTTAGATGAGGTGTTTTGTGTACTGCAAGGGCGTGGACCCGACGTGCATTCAGAAGAATGATCTGCTGCCGCATAACAAGTGGTCTGCTCAGGTGAGGGGGGTGGGGGAACGGGGGAGGGGGGTGGGGTTAGATGAGGTGTTTTGTGTACTGCAAGGGCGTGGACCCGACGTGCATTCAGAAGAATGATCTGCTGCCGCATAACAAGTGGTCTGCTCAGGTGAGGGGGGTGGGGGAACGGGGGAGGGGAGTGGGGTTAGATGAGGTGTTTTGTGTACTGCAAGGGCGTGGACCCGACGTGCATTCAGAAGAATGATCTGCTGCCGCATAACAAGTGGTCTGCTCAGGTGAGGGGGGTGGGGGAAACGGGGGAGGGGGGTGGGGTTAGATGAGGTGTTTTGTGTACTGCAAGGGCGTGGACCCGACGTGCATTCAGAAGAATGATCTGCTGCCGCATAACAAGTGGTCTGCTCAGGTGAGGGGGGTGGGGGAACGGGGGAGGGGGGTGGGGTTAGATGAGGTGTTTTGTGTACTGCAAGGGCGTGGACCCGACGTGCATTCAGAAGAATGATCTGCTGCCGCATAACAAGTGGTCTGCTCAGGTGAGGGGGGTGGGGGAACGGGGGAGGGGGGTGGGGTTAGATGAGGTGTTTTGTGTACTGCAAGGGCGTGGACCCGACGTGCATTCAGAAGAATGATCTGCTGCCGCATAACAAGTGGTCTGCTCAGGTGAGGGGGGTGGGGGAACGGGGGAGGGGGGTGGGGTTAGATGAGGTGTTTTGTGTACTGCAAGGGCGTGGACCCGACGTGCATTCAGAAGAATGATCTGCTGCCGCATAACAAGTGGTCTGCTCAGGTGAGGGGGGTGGGGGAACGGGGGAGGGGGGTGGGGTTAGATGAGGTGTTTTGTGTACTGCAAGGGCGTGGACCCGACGTGCATTCAGAAGAATGATCTGCTGCCGCATAACAAGTGGTCTGCTCAGGTGAGGGGGGTGGGGGAACGGGGGAGGGGGGTGGGGTTAGATGAGGTGTTTTGTGTACTGCAAGGGCGTGGACCCGACGTGCATTCAGAAGAATGATCTGCTGCCGCATAACAAGTGGTCTGCTCAGGTGAGGGGGGTGGGGGAACGGGGGAGGGGGGTGGGGTTAGATGAGGTGTTTTGTGAACTGCAAGGGCGTGGACCCGACGTGCATTCAGAAGAATGATCTGCTGCCGCATAACAAGTGGTCTGCTCAGGTGAGGGGGGTGGGGGAACGGGGGAGGGGAGTGGGGTTAGATGAGGTGTTTTGTGTACTGCAAGGGCGTGGACCCGACGTGCATTCAGAAGAATGATCTGCTGCCGCATAACAAGTGGTCTGCTCAGGTGAGGGGGGTGGGGGAACGGGGGAGGGGAGTGGGGTTAGATGAGGTGTTTTGTGAACTGCAAGGGCGTGGACCCGACGTGCATTCAGAAGAATGATCTGCTGCCGCATAACAAGTGGTCTGCTCAGGTGAGGGGGGTGGGGGAACGGGGGAGGGGAGTGGGGTTAGATGAGGTGTTTTGTGTACTGCAAGGGCGTGGACCCGATGTGCATTCAGAAGAATGATCTGCTGCCGCATAACAAGTGGTCTGCTCAGGTGAGGGGGGTGGGGGAACGGGGGAGGGGAGTGGGGTTAGATGAGGTGTTTTGTGTACTGTAAGGGCGTGGACCCGACGTGCATTCAGAAGAATGATCTGCTGCCGCATAACAAGTGGTCTGCTTAGGTGAGGGGGGTGGGGGAACGGGGGAGGGGGGTGGGGTTAGATGAGGTGTTTTGTGAACTGCAAGGGCGTGGACCCGACGTGCATTCAGAAGAATGATCTGCTGCCGCATAACAAGTGGTCTGCTCAGGTGAGGGGGGTGGGGGAACGGGGGAGGGGAGTGGGGTTAGATGAGGTGTTTTGTGTACTGCAAGGGCGTGGACCCGACGTGCATTCAGAAGAATGATCTGCTGCCGCATAACAAGTGGTCTGCTCAGGTGAGGGGGGTGGGGGAACGGGGGAGGGGGGTGGGGTTAGATGAGGTGTTTTGTGAACTGCAAGGGTGTGGACCCGTCGTGCATTCAGAAGAATGATCTGCTGCCGCATAACAAGTGGTCTGCTCAGGTGAGGGGGGTGGGGGAACGGGGGAGGGGAGTGGGGTTAGATGAGGTGTTTTGTGTACTGCAAGGGCGTGGACCCGACGTGCATTCAGAAGAATGATCTGCTGCCGCATAACAAGTGGTCTGCTCAGGTGAGGGGGGTGGGGGAACGGGGGAGGGGGGTGGGGTTAGATGAGGTGTTTTGTGTACTGCAAGGGCGTGGACCCGACGTGCATTCAGAAGAATGATCTGCTGCCGCATAACAAGTGGTCTGCTCAGGTGAGGGGGGTGGGGGAACGGGGGAGGGGGGTGGGGTTAGATGAGGTGTTTTGTGTACTGCAAGGGCGTGGACCCGACGTGCATTCAGAAGAATGATCTGCTGCCGCATAACAAGTGGTCTGCTCAGGTGAGGGGGGTGGGGGAACGGGGGAGGGGGGTGGGGTTAGATGAGGTGTTTTGTGAACTGCAAGGGCGTGGACCCGACGTGCATTCAGAAGAATGATCTGCTGCCGCATAACAAGTGGTCTGCTCAGGTGAGGGGGGTGGGGGAACGGGGGAGGGGAGTGGGGTTAGATGAGGTGTTTTGTGTACTGCAAGGGCGTGGACCCGACGTGCATTCAGAAGAATGATCTGCTGCCGCATAACAAGTGGTCTGCTTAGGTGAGGGGGGTGGGGGAACGGGGGAGGGGGGTGGGGTTAGATGAGGTGTTTTGTGAACTGCAAGGGCGTGGACCCGACGTGCATTCAGAAGAATGATCTGCTGCCGCATAACAAGTGGTCTGCTCAGGTGAGGGGGGTGGGGGAACGGGGGAGGGGAGTGGGGTTAGATGAGGTGTTTTGTGTACTGCAAGGGCGTGGACCCGACGTGCATTCAGAAGAATGATCTGCTGCCGCATAACAAGTGGTCTGCTCAGGTGAGGGGGGTGGGGGAACGGGGGAGGGGGGTGGGGTTAGATGAGGTGTTTTGTGTACTGCAAGGGCGTGGACCCGACGTGCATTCAGAAGAATGATCTGCTGCCGCATAACAAGTGGTCTGCTCAGGTGAGGGGGGTGGGGGAACGGGGGAGGGGGGTGGGGTTAGATGAGGTGTTTTGTGAACTGCAAGGGCGTGGACCCGACGTGCATTCAGAAGAATGATCTGCTGCCGCATAACAAGTGGTCTGCTCAGGTGAGGGGGGTGGGGGAACGGGGGAGGGGAGTGGGGTTAGATGAGGTGTTTTGTGTACTGCAAGGGCGTGGACCCGACGTGCATTCAGAAGAATGATCTGCTGCCGCATAACAAGTGGTCTGCTTAGGTGAGGGGGGTGGGGGAACGGGGGAGGGGGGTGGGGTTAGATGAGGTATTTTGTGAACTGCAAGGGCGTGGACCCGACGTGCATTCAGAAGAATGATCTGTTGCCGCATAACAAGTGGTCTGCTCAGGTGAGGGGGGTGGGGGAACGGGGGAGGGGGGTGGGGTTAGATGAGGTGTTTTGTGAACTGCAAGGGCGTGGACCCGACGTGCATTCAGAAGAATGATCTGCTGCCGCATAACAAGTGGTCTGCTCAGGTGAGGGGGGTGGGGGAACGGGGGAGGGGGGTGGGGTTAGATGAGGTGTTTTGTGAACTGCAAGGGCGTGGACCCGACGTGCATTCAGAAGAATGATCTGCTGCCGCATAACAAGTGGTCTGCTCAGGTGAGGGGGGTGGGGGAACGGGGGAGGGGAGTGGGGTTAGATGAGGTGTTTTGTGTACTGCAAGGGCGTGGACCCGACGTGCATTCAGAAGAATGATCTGCTGCCGCATAACAAGTGGTCTGCTCAGGTGAGGGGGGTGGGGGAACGGGGGAGGGGGGTGGGGTTAGATGAGGTGTTTTGTGAACTGCAAGGGCGTGGACCCGACGTGCATTCAGAAGAATGATCTGCTGCCGCATAACAAGTGGTCTGCTCAGGTGAGGGGGGTGGGGGAACGGGGGAGGGGGGTGGGGTTAGATGAGGTGTTTTGTGTACTGCAAGGGCGTGGACCCGACGTGCATTCAGAAGAATGATCTGCTGCCGCATAACAAGTGGTCTGCTCAGGTGAGGGGGGTGGGGGAACGGGGGAGGGGAGTGGGGTTAGATGAGGTGTTTTGTGTACTGCAAGGGCGTGGACCCGACGTGCATTCAGAAGAATGATCTGCTGCCGCATAACAAGTGGTCTGCTTAGGTGAGGGGGGTGGGGGAACGGGGGAGGGGGGTGGGGTTAGATGAGGTGTTTTGTGAACTGCAAGGGCGTGGACCCGACGTGCATTCAGAAGAATGATCTGCTGCCGCATAACAAGTGGTCTGCTCAGGTGAGGGGGGTGGGGGAACGGGGGAGGGGGGTGGGGTTAGATGAGGTGTTTTGTGAACTGCAAGGGCGTGGACCCGACGTGCATTCAGAAGAATGATCTGCTGCCGCATAACAAGTGGTCTGCTCAGGTGAGGGGGGTGGGGGAACGGGGGAGGGGGGTGGGGTTAGATGAGGTGTTTTGTGAACTGCAAGGGCGTGGACCCGACGTGCATTCAGAAGAATGATCTGCTGCCGCATAACAAGTGGTCTGCTCAGGTGAGGGGGGTGGGGGAACGGGGGAGGGGAGTGGGGTTAGATGAGG